GCACAGTAGTAATGCAGTAGTACAATAGTAGTACCATATTTAGTAGTACAGTAGCAGTGCAATAGTAATACAGAAGTACAGTAGTAAGAGGGTAGTAGTAAAGTGGTAGTACAGTAGGGGTACATCACAAGGGTGTGGGAGTACAAGGAGCTGTTTAGCGGGGTGTGGTCACGACCAAAGTCCAAACCACGATCACTCCAAGATACCAACACTAAAACCTTTTATGTTGAGAACTTTTTCGTCCGGCCTACACTCCTGTACAGCAGTGCATTAGGGACAGTCGTAGAAGAGAAATACAAAAAATCAGTCGGCCCAACAAAGAACGCACTAATCATTAATTATGCCACCATTTTTTTGATACAGCCCGAATAAGCACAGGAAACACGCATCAACTAGGCACACCGGACCAGAAGGACCCCCACATTAACCTGTATTAGTGGGTGATGCTATTAGTCAATTTCAGTATTCGCATGCGTTTGGCATGTTGCTACTTGTTTGTGTTTGCTTGGTGACTGTTTTGTGCAAGTCTGTTGTTGTGTGTCTTGGCTCAAAACTTCTTCACAAAAAAGCGAATCACGATGTCGCCTCCTGCTTGGAAACAAAACAAGATATAGAAAACCTGGCTCAGTCTGGTCAAGTTTGTTTCGGCAATGTTTTTTCAAAAAAGGAGAGCCCAAATTTAGGAAAAGGGAAAAGCAATCCACACTGGGGTGATTGAGCCGGGGACCGGCCATCCCCCCCCAGCCCAGCCCAATTCCAAGATGCCGCATCGTCAGCCCCAGCCAGCCCAGCCCCACCCCAGCCGACCCCCCCGCACCCGACCCACCCCCTACTTTCGGGGGACACCCATTGCGATTTGATGATTTTGGTATGGGGACAGGCACCGGACACCCCTTGCGAGCTGCGAGTTTTTGGACAGCCGTAGGGGGAGCCCTTGCGGTTCATGATTTGGGAACCTATGTTTTAATACAACCTGCAGGGAGACACTCTTTGCGATCCGTGATTTTGGGATCCGCGTTTCTTCAAAACCTAATCGGACACCCCTTGCGGGCCCCATCCCCCAACCCCAGCCCACCACCGCATCTGTTGGCAAAATCTGGTGGAAGTGAGCCGCCACCGAGCAGAAAGCCTGTAAATACCGCGTTAAAACAACGGCCAGGGATCCCACACATCTGCGGGCAAAATCTGGCGGAAGTGATCCGCCACCGAGCAAAAAGCCTGTAAATACCGCATTAAACACAGGGCCAGGGATTTCACACATCTGTTGGCAAAGTCTGGCGGAAGTGAGTGCTGCCCCACCGGGGGAAAGGGGGGGATACCCCCCCTTGAACCCCCCGTGGCATCTTTTCTTGGATAGATAGATCGAGATTCCCTTTGCAGGGAGATTATATATAAATCTTATCGGTGTTAGAAAGGAAAACAACCCAAATAAAATCTTACTGCATCTAACTATAAATCTCATTAAATCTTAATTCGTCTTCAAATTTTATGAAGTCCCGAGCCCGGTCCCCAGCCCTCGCCCTTGCGCCTTATCAGCCCACCTCCCAGGCCAGCCTCGCCCCCGCGCCAAACTCAAAGCCATGACCCTATAAGCACATATAGATACCAGATATGACAGCAAACAGCAAAACCTTTAAAGAGCAAAGACAAAGCACCCACACAAAGCAAAGTTTACAGGGGCGCTCCCTGCTTGAGTCGATGAAACACACTACTGTGCTTGTACTGTGCTACTACTGTACTACCATTGCACCAATGTACTAATATGCTACTGTACTACTGTACTCTGTACTACACGCCACTGTACCGGACCAGGCCTCAAACTTGGTCGATCGTGGGGGGTGGTTAGGTTGGAGGCAAAAGTCTTCAAAATGAAAGGTTTGTAGTGTTGGCAGTTATCTTGGAGTGATCGGGGCTTGGTTTCAAGTTTTTGGTGATCCCCAAGCCCCCCGATTGCGGCGTTCGCGCAAATTTCAACTCGACCATGCGACCCCCCATTTCCCTTCTAACTTATCCAAAGCCATTCAGACCCTCAGCCAGCCGAACCCCGGTCCAGGGGGTCACGGACACCAGACTATTCACACCGAAAACCTTTGGTCGAGGGGGGGTGGCTATTAAACGGCCGCCACATTACAGGTAGCAGAGATACAAGAAGAAGCTCGATGATGCACAGGTGAGTACATGTAATAGTCCAGTAGTAATGCATGTAATAGTACAGTAGTAATGCAGTAGTAGTACAGTAGTAACACGGTACGAGGTTTTTAAGTGTACTTGGAGCTGTTTAACGGTTTGGGGGGATCACCAAAGGCTGGAAACCAGAAGCCCCGATCACTCCAAGATACTACCAACATTGAAAACCTTTCATTTTGAAGACTTGTGCCTCCAACCTACACTCCCTCCCCTCCACAATCGACTATGTCTGAGGCCTGGTACGGTACAGTAGTAGTACAACAGGGTAGAGTAGTACTATAGTAGTACTGTAGTACGACAGTCGTACAGTAGTAGATACAGTGCAGTACGAGGGTTTAGGGGTACTTGGAGCTGTCTAGCGAGGTTTGGGGACGACCAAAAGTCGAAGCCAACACGCGGTCACTCAACGAGAACTACCAAAACTGCAAACTTTTCACTCTGAAGACTTTTGCCTCCAACCTACACTCCCCTCCACAATCGACCACGTCTGAGGCCTGGTGCGGTGCAGTGGTGTGTCGTGCAGTAGTAGTACAAGTACTAGCACGGTAGTAGTACAGTAGTACAAAAGTAGTACCGTCGTAGTACAGTAGGGGTGCGATAGTAGTACAGAAGTATACTTGTAAGAGGGTAGTAGTAAAGTGGTAGTACAGTAGTATTAAAGTAGTTGTACAGTAGTGGTACAGTACGAGGGTGTGGGAGTACCTGGAGCTGTTGAGCGGGGGTTTGGGCACGACCAAAAGCCCGAAGCCAAGCCACGATCATTCCAAGATAACTACCAAAACTGAAGCCCATTCATGTTGAAGACTTTGGGACTTTGCGTTTCAGCCATTAGCCTTCAACCATATACCATGGCACTTTGCCTTCTAACCCTACACCCTAAAACCCTGAAGCTCTAACCCTAACCCTCTCATTACCCTCAAACCCTAATACTATGGCACTCTGCCTTCTAACCCCAAACCCCAAAAGACCCTGAAACTTTAAACCGTGTGCCAGACCTTCTTCATCCGCGTCTTCTTGGCAAAAAATTCAACAAAGTTAAAGAATGTTATTTTTTGTCTTTAAAAGTTTTTAAAAGTCCTTTAAAGTTTTTAAATGTTTTTTAAAGCTTTTAAAAGTCTTTTAAAGCTTTTAAAAGTCTTTTAAAGTTTTGAAAAGTCTTTTAAAGCTTTTAAAAGTCTTTCAAAGTTTTTAAAAGTCTTTTAAAGCTTTTAAAAGTCTTTTAAAGTTTTTAAACGTCTTTTAAAGTTTTTAAAAGTTTTGTAAAGTTCTTAAAAGTCTTTTAAAGTCTTTAAAAGTCTTTTAAAGTGTTTAAAGGTCTTTAAAAGTTGTTTTTTGTATTTTAAAGTTTTTAAAAGTCTTTAAAAGCCAACTCTGTCGAAAAAGCCCTGTGGATCTAAACCTTGTGGTTCTGGTTCGGTGCAAAAGGGCAATGATACTCCTACTCCTACTCCTACTCCTACTCCTACTCCTACTGCTACTGCTACTGCTACTGCTACTGCTACTGCTACTGCTACTGCTATTACTACTACTACTACTACTACTACTACTACTACTACTACTACTACTACTACTACTACTACTACTGCTACTGCTACTGCTACTACTACTCCTACTCCTACTCCTACTCCTACTCCTACTCCTACTCCTACTGCTACTCCTGCTGCTACTCCTACTGCTACTGCTACTGCTACTGCTACTGCTACTGCTACTGCTACTACTCCTACTCCTACTCCTACTCCTACTCCTACTCCTACTCCTACTCCTACTGCTACTGCTACTGCTACTGCTACTGCTACTGCTACTGCTACTGCTACTGCTACTGCTACTGCTACTGCTACTGCTACTGCTACTGCTACTACTACGACGACTACTGAGAACGGGATGCCGGCTGAAAGCGGTGACGCTGTCGTTCGTGTGGTTTTCGGTTCGTGGTTTCCGGTGTTGCTTCCGCGCCTGGTGTGAGAAGCTGATTTGTTCTCAAACTCTTTCCCTGAGGGTCCAAGTACCCCAACAGTAGGGTTTTAGGTCCCAAACTCCATACTCTGAATGGTTTTTGGACCTTGAAACCTTACTATTTGGGCACTTGGACCCTTAGGGTTTGGATCACTTAGACCCCCCAACTAACCTCTATTTAGGGTTTAGGGTTTCTGACCTTCTACCCTCTAACCTAATGTAGGAGCCTGATTAAGAAACCCTGGCCCAAAAACAAACAAATAGTAGGATTCATCCCAGGGTTTCTTAATCGGGTTCATACATTACTTAGAGGTTCATGGGACTTAGTAAGTACAGTTATATGTACCTTAACTGAGGTTGTAATTATAAGTATAGTTACCCTATTTATAACCCGAGTTGCTAAGTCCCATGAACCTTTAAGTACCCTACATACCCACTATTCAGGACCCTCAGGCCTCGAATAAAGAGGGCCGCCGGTTTTGGGATCGTCGGTTTAGGGTTTAGGGTTTAGGGGCTAAGGGTCCATGTGCCTACACAGTATATGCATAGTTTTGGGCGGCATTGCTATCTAGGCAGTGGCCGAATCTGCAGTCTAGGGGCAACGTAAATACTAAACCTTCCTGATTGGATACACTGGCCGCTATAAGGGTTTCTGTTGGTTAGATGGCAGAAAAGACCCATGTACCCTCATGGTACATGCTGTGGTGTTGCGATGGTTGGTTACATGGACAGGGTCGGCCTCAGTGGTGCACTGAAGATGTGGTGACTTACAGTTTGCGGCGCAGGGTGGCGGCATCAGGGATCATACAAAAAGGCCTAAGCAAGGTATCCGACGTCAGCACTTCAAGAGCTGCGCGCAGGCTGCCGTCAATCTGCTGCACGACATGTTGGACCAGGACTACGCAACAGCATGGGCGAGGAATGGGAGTTACATCTATATATATATATATAACCCAAGTAAAAGCAAAAGAAACTTTCTCCCTACTTGGAGGTTCACGGGACTTAGTAAGTACAGTTACAAGTACAGTGGTAGTCGCTCTACCTTAACTGGGGTTAGAACCAATTAGAAGTATAGTTACCTGTCTTATAGCCATACTAAGTCCCATGAACCTCGAAGTATGAACCGGAAAGCTTTCGATTCCTCCCCCTTTCCCCGTCTGAGTCTTGGCGCGAACCGACCTGCGAACCTGCGAACCCGAACTCGACCCGCCGCAACCCCAGACCCCCTGACCCCCCCCCCCCCCCCCCCCAACCTCCGAACCGAACATGTTTTTTGGAATTCCGCTTGAAAACAAGCCTGGGGCAAGTTCAAATACTTCAAAGTCAATTCAAGCTTTAGGCCCAAATACATCCGGCGAAACGGCTGGAAATCTCTTCAATCAACAAGAATTGCTCGTTTTGTCCCCTATGCAGGTGAGGTTGACCATGAGCAGAATGGAAAATGAACAATAGTAACACACACACACACACACATCCCTGCGGCTTGTTGATGCATAAAAAAATGCACCAGAACATTTGGAAATCAAGAACAGCACTCTTCACAAACAAGATGTGTATATATGTATATACACACACATAGATATAACAGTTGTAATACTGTAGCACCTTGGGTATGATAACAGGCAGGGTCTTGGGTCGAGCTTTGCCGTTTTGGGGGGGGCTATGGGTGTGACGCCTAAAAGCCTTGTAGTTTAAGAAAAGCCGCAGAGATCATGCACCCAGAAACCGAACCCCCCCGAACCCGAACCGCGGCGCGTCCTTCGACGATTTGCTGAAGAACCTGGCAGTTTTCTGAGCTCAGCCCTCAACCCCAACAGCCTAAACCCGAACACATGAGAAGCTGAGTCCTGAGTACATATATTCCTCATTTAGCAGGCTTTTGGACCAAATCACAGACCCTCCAAACCCTAAAACTCTAAACTGTAAAGCCCTTAAAGGCTCCATGTACCTTTGTAGTAGGTACTTAAGCCATAAAGGGGTCCCCATATAGGTACTTTAAGGCCTAGGTACATGCTATATGGGTACCATGGAGCCTTATACCCTAAACCCTATAGAACCCTTATAGAACCCTTTAAAGGAACCCCATAGAACCCTTTAAAGGAACCCTTCAAAGAAACCCGCAGGAGATGGAGCCTGACCTTTTCACATACAGCAGTGTACTCGATGCACTGGCGGCGGACGCGAGGCCGGGGAAGCTTCCCGGTTTAGGGTTTAGGGTTTATCCCCTATGATTGTAAACACTATCTGGAAGTTTCCGAAAATCGGGGACGCTTTTATAGTACCCTATTGCCCCTAATCAGTAGGATCCTTATTATCAGGAACCCAGAATCGTCTAGATCCATGGCTCGAAAGATTTGATGACATCACCAATCCTGACCACGCCGTGAACGAAGTCGATTGCCACTGAGAAAAGACACTCATCGGGAGATCAACTCCGAGTGAAAGATGACAGTAGGGATGGGGAAGGCCTAATTAACCTAAAACCCCCAACCAGGTACAAAGGGAGGGACAGGCCCTGAAAGGGGAAAACCTGTGCATCTCCAGCAATCTGGGCATTCTATGTGTCTGAGGCACACAAGAAGAAAACTTTACAGGCATCGGTATGCAACAAGGCTCTTGCGGACAGTAGCAAGATGGTCAAGCACACGCAGATTCTGGGCTTTGGTACGCGTCGACACGGGCCAACCCGTCCTACGCTGCATGCCGTCACCAGGTAGGGCAGGGCGAGAAGCACCGAAGTGCGCGCAACTCCAAGCACAGTGATCCCACCTAGGAGCATCGCCCTTTTTGCAGAAAAGGCACCATTGCACAGCAGCGCCACTTTTATTGGCCTGAAGCCGTGCTGGGCTGACCACTGCAGCGGTGAGCACCGCACGGCCATGAGCACAGGTGGCATTCCACAGCTGCCAAGCCTGCTTGACTCGAGCTGCTGGGAACGTCGGGTTAGCCGCAGCCACAGCAGCCGGTCTGCTCGAGGCTTTCCACGCTTCAAAGCGTTCAAATCACCAAGCTTCCCCAAGTAGGTGCTTGATGCGGTCGGTCTGCAGGTTCCTAGCCCAACTGATGCATCGTCTAGGAATGGCCTGATGAGTCCATGAACCGTCATGCTGCAAATGCCAGCCCATGCTTTTAAGGCGGGCAGCAACAGCATACTGCCAAGTTCCTCTCATGGCGCTGGGCTGCCAGCGAGCGCGGCCAAGCTGAACGAGCTTGGCCCACATGGAGATGGTCTGGCGGTCTCCTCAGTGAATCCAAGTAAAGATCTCAGAAAGCAAAGTGCGGGAGCGTACAGCAACTTCGCCCCCAATCTTGTCCCAGCTTTCATTGTTCTGCAGTCCTCGGGCTGCGGCCAGTCAAAGAAATCCACACGCCCCTTCAGCTCCACAATCGATTTCCTCGCAGAGAGCATTGGAGGACTGGTCTTTCTTACCTCGAGAGCGACTCCTACCTCTAGCCTCTTCACCATTAGCAGGAGATTTAGCAGGCTTGGGGGTTTTGGCAACAGGCGCAATGGCTCCGTGTTCACATATAGCATATACTTAGGCCTTAAAGTACCTATATGGGGACCCCTTTATGGCTTTAAGTATCTACTATACAGGTACATGGAGCCTTTGGGTACAGTTAGGTTGAAGGGTCTTGGCTTGGGGGCTGGGGGTGTAGGTTCGAGGGTTTCGGCTTCGGGAGGGGGTGTAACGCTTCAGGGTGTTTAGGTCCCCGATATTGTGTAATTAGTTTAAGTTTCAACGGATGCCGCTTGCAAAAACAAACATCTGATTCAGTGCAGACCCTAAACCCTGAACCCCTAAATCCTGAACCCCTAAACCCTAAAACCCTTGGGTGCTCCACAACAAGAGCCTGATCCTAAGCCGTGAGAGTCTAAACACCAGAAATTGGGGGTTGGGTTCTGGGGTTTTAAGCTCTTGAGGATTTCCTGCCACATGTTATGGTGTTTATGTATATTATGTACATACATGCAACTAGGTGTATGTATATACAGATAGATGTACATGTATACGTAATATATATTTATACATATATATATATATATATGTATGTATGTATGTATGTATGTATGTATGTATGTATGTGTAGACATCGCTCCAGATATCTCCCTCTCTCTCTCTCTCGCGCTAGCTCTCTCGCTCCCTCTGTTTTTTTCTCGGCAGGTGGGCAGACGCAGTTGACGTGGTACAGGACCGACCGAGCCAGGTTTACATGTCGTAAGTGTGCTGCAGTTCAAGGTTTCAGAATGTACAGTTGATTTTCTTCAGGGCCTCAAAATGTCTCTGCACCTATATCATGTCTACTTAGGGGTTCCGATATACGTACATGCGAGATTAAGCACACACCCTACTAATGTATGCGTCCTCAGGGGAATTGAAGGTGTTCTCGGGCACCATGTCTGGATTTCGGATCTTTCATATCTGAAGCTTTGCCAGGTTCAGGATGAGCCCTAAACCCCAAACTCTGAACCCTAAGCCCTGCATCCTAAACCATAAACTCCTAAAACCAGCACCTGAAGAGGAGGTGAGGTAATATAGGAGCCTAAAGAATTACCTATATACAATGTTTGGGGGTTCCTTATTATTATAGTTATAGTATAATAGGCCCCAAAATCTTGTTTCAATTTTAAAAGAGTTCCTTGAAGGGTTTCTTGAAAGGGTCTATGCGGGTTCTATGGGGTTTAGGGTATAAGGGTCCATGTACTCATATAGTATATACTTTGGCCCCAAAGTACGAGTATACAGACTACTTCAAGGCCTAAGTATATACTATTGGCAACATAGATTCTTTGGGGGTCATACATGCCCTTACTCTAAACTTGCACTGAGTGCAGCTTAGATCGCCTCCACTGGGTTCACGACGAGTTATAGAAACTTGGACGCGTCGGCAAACCCTCTACAGCTCTAAGAACTGAAACCCTGAGCCCTAACCTTAGATCCCCAATACCTAACCTTTTTCACTTTTTGGGTTCTTATAGTTTAGTAGGAATCGGAAAGCGTAACCTTTGATTTCTGGGGTAAATCACCCTGACCCTTAAACCCTAAATCCTAAGCCCTATGCCCTAAACCTGGTCCTGTTCGTGAACATCTGGTGCAGCTGACGGCCGAGTTTGTTGGTGAAACCGTCCACACATTGGCTGATGTTGTTGGTTGTGGCATGGAGTCTGCTGTGGTGGATCCCTATACACTGCCGCTTGCACTGCAGCCTCTTCCTCCTGAACGTGGTGCTGATGCTCGTGGTTCTGGACAAGATGCCCGTTCTCGCAGCCCTCGTCGTGATCCCATGCTGTCGACTGTGCCCATGTCTGCTGGCCCTGGTGACACTGGTGCTGTTCTGGGTGTAACGTCGTCTTCTACCAATTTGCCGCCTGGAACGACCTCGGCGAGTACTACATGGACGTCTACGGCGAGTACTACATGGATGTCTACGATGGGTGTTTCACAGTTGAGGGCCAACTGGCCGGCGCCTCTGGAGAAAGGGAGTGCATTTCAACTTAAAAAAAAAACCCTAAGCCTAAGCACCCACAGGACCTTCAGATCCGGGGCTTTTCTCCCAACAACGCAGTGGCCAGCACCTTGAGCCTTGCCTTGCTAGGGGAAGGTGTGGGGTTTTAGGGTTCAGGGTTTAGGGGTTTAGGGGTTTAGGGTTTAGGGGTTCAGGGTTTTAGGGTTTAGGGTTTAGGGGTTTAGGGTTTAGGGGTTTCGGGTTTAGGGTTTAGGGTGTAGAAGGTGTACAGTAGAAGCCAGAAAGTTGGAATATCCTTATCGTAACCCCTTGTAAGGTAAATTATAGGGGATCCTACCATTAATCGATATTCCAACTTTCTGGAGTTCCCCTTAGGGGGAAGGTGTAGGGGTTGAGGCTTTGGGCTCTGAGGGTTTGCGTTTTCTGGGTCTTTCTTAGGGTTTAGGGTTTAGGGTTCAATGCTACCTACAGTATAAGTGCCCTACCAGCGGTCTAGACCAGCAGGAGGTTTCTAGGTTAGTAATCCTAAACCCTAAACCCTAAGCGCCCTAACCCCTAACCTAAGTTAAGCTGTGAAGCTTATCTTGGGGGTTTCTAGGTTAGGCTTCCTCCATGTATCTTCATGTCCCCTCCATGCATCCGGTCCCTCGCCACGGTTTAGGGTTTGGGCTCGCCTATGACTGTGGGATGGTGTTGTGCGGCTTGTGAAGTTACACAATACAGGGGTTACACAAACGCCTGCCACATAGAATGAAAAACGTGGTAATTACCTCGGTTCGAACGCAACCAGAAACGTCGTGGTATCCTACAGTAAGCCCTTAACCGTCATAAACGGAACTTAGTCCAAATGCCAGAACGAAAAGAGTCAAGGTGTCCGACATGCTGACCACAGCTCTCTTACCTGTCTTGTTTCCTGTGTTGCCTCTAGACCCAGACCTTCCAAAAGCCCTTGGTTTGTGCCTTACATCAGTCATATCCTGCTATAGTTTCATGTATATTCCTTAATTTTGGGGATCTTCAGTCATATCCTACTATAATTTCGGGTATATCCCTCAATTAAGGGATTTTTGAAGGTCTGGAGGCGCTAGACTAGACTCTAGACCCTGAACAGAGAACCAGTTTAGGGATTAGGGTTTAGGGTTTAGGAATCGGCAGCTCTCAAGCCTGCAACAAGTTCTTGAACTTCGAGTTCTCTTCAGAGCTACAGCAGCCCGAGCTGTCATGTAGGGGTTCAGGGTTTGGGTACTTGTTCTGCGTTCAGACATAAACCGACCTAGACCCGGAGCCCGAAACACATAGGCTCAGCTGTGGTTTTGGGAAACATGAAAACAGCTTCCCCTACTTGGAGGGTCGGGGGACTTAGTAAGTAGGTAGTAGACTTATAAGTACCCTGAAAGGGACCCTAATTGGGGTTATGGTACTTATAAGTCCCTAAAATAACCAGTTACTAAGTCCCATGAACCTCCAAGTAGGCTTCCAATCGCGCCCTGGACTGCGGCCTTGCAGATGTGGCTGGAGGCAGCCGGGCATGTGAGTTTGGAAGTCGGCGGTCTCGTTTTTAGGGTTGAGGGGTTGAGGGGTTTAGGGTTGAGGGTTTAGGGGTTTAGGGTTTGGGGTTTCAACCCGAGGACCTAAGCCACGTGCGTTAATGGACCCAGGCCGGACACCTCCTCGCCGGTTGTCGTCGCATTCTCGCGAATACTATTGTTAATGTAGGAACCTGATTAAGAAACGGGGTTATAGGCCCAGGGTTTCTTAATCAGGTTCCTACCTTCCCATTGTTTTCTTGTAGTCGTAACTGCAGCAGAAGCGGCTGCTGCAGTTGTCGTCGTCGTCGTCGTTCTTGCACAGTCTCACAGTTGCAGTCACAGCCGTAGTCGTCGTTCCAGTAGCACTGCCATCGCAGCAGGAGCAGGAGTAGGAGCACCAGCATCAGCACCAGCGTTAGTATCAGGCAGCAGCAGGTTCACGAAAATCAGCATCAACACCAGCAGGAGCTGATCCTCACATCCCGTGCATTGCATTGCAACGTATGCACTGTGAAACAGTTGTTGGGATGAGGGTCGAAGGTTTCGAATGCAGCTTGCCTAACAAGAAAGACAACACACATCCCTGGAGCACGGTTGTATGGAGGCTCCTGATCTTGCAGAGTCAGCAATATTTGGCTGCATTTCTACAGACTACAAAGACAAAGCATCGAAGTTTCAATTCTCGCAGGTTCTCGACTCTGCGCAATGGTTCGTGAGCTTTTCAATAATGAACTGTCAGCATGTATGTGGGCTTTGGTGTGTCGCCGTAGCCATCTTCATTTATTATTCAAGTGTTTCTTTGTTACAGTCTTGAATCCAGGCAATGCAGTATCCGGACAATTTAAGGTGTCAGGAAAACCCTTCGGAAGTTTAAGGTCTAACGGTCTAACTAGCCTCTGTTCCCTTGACCCTAAACCCTTTAACCCTAAACCTTACTTAATTCCTTAGATCCTGAAGCCCTAAAACCTCAACCTCTATTCCCTAGAGTTGAGGCTCGTATTGTCCGCTTGGAGTTTGCGTGCGGTCCACCCCCTCCAAACCCCAGACCCGGCGAACGAGCACCAGTAGGTCAGGCGTTACATTCCCTAAGGCTCCAAGTAGCTATATACTATACACTTAAGCCTTAAAGGGGATCCTACATAGTTATAGAAATTGAACGCCCAAGTATAAACTATGTAGGTACATGGAGCCTTAGTTTGCTTTGGAATCTGGGGCTTTGGTGCCTCTAGCGATTCCTCACTGCGCACAAGTAGTGCAAGAACCCGATTAAGAACAGCTTGCTCCTTGCCCAAATGATGTGGTCGATGTGAAGCAAAATTAAAGCCCAGACCCTTGAGCTTGAACCTTAAACCCATACACCTTGCTATAGGAACCTGACTAGCAAACCCTGGGTCTTACTTAGGCTTCTTCATATGAATCCGATTATCTTGGGGTTGTAGGGACAGGTTTTCTGAATCAGGTTCCTACATTACACCCTACATTCAATCCTTGAAGCAAAAGGCACAGCATGGTATGGAGCCAGACCAGGTGCCATGAATTTGTTGATGTCGCGCGAAGGGGTATCAGAGGGTCCAAGGCTTTAGGGTGTAGGGTTTTGTTTGCGCTCTTTGGCAAAAGATTTGATTTGCAGTCGAAAATGAGCGCTCTAGGACGTTACTACACGTGGGGGTTACAGTTTCGCAAATGGCGCAACATGGTCAGGCTCATTTTCAGTCCGACAGTACCTGGACTCAGAATTTGGAATCCTCATCCATAAACGCTTAAAGCCCAGACCGTTAAACCCTTATAAGCCTTAAATCCCTTAACCCGAAAACCCCGAACCCAGAAAACCCTCATAAATCCCCAACCGGTTGCCCGATATTTGGTGGGGTCCAGGACCGAGAATCGGAATCCCTTCGTCACTGACATCTGGATTCGGGGCCCAGCTTTTGCGGCGCCATGCCCTCTCTCAATTATTTACGTTCCTCTAGGAGTATACCCTAAGTGTCCATGCACGCAAATAGTATATACTTTGACTTTGAAGTACTCCTGCATTGGGCCCGAAGTACAAACTATTTGGGTCCATGAACCCATGAACTCTTAGGGATGTTATGGCAGTGGTTCATGTGGTTTTCGGCGGTGATAAGGTTTTAAGTTGCAGGGTTGTACATAGGCTCGAATGGAGAGCTTCTGTTTGTGGGAGTGCAACGGTTCAACAGATGCTCCCCTCCATTCTACTTTGTATTAGAGTTGAGATTCGGGCTTGTAATCCCTGAACCTGTAGACTAGGATGACCAGTAGTACCCTTATTCCCTTTTTGTAGTCCTGGGTTACTGGGCATCCTTGTAGATGCTAAAGCCATTGTAGGGAGAAAGCTCTGGAGCAACCCCCACCCCCTAGGTGCTTTGCGGTGCCCACCTTGCCTCCATGGAGCAGGGCTACTACTGGCAGCAGGTGGGATCGGATTTGTGAGCTTTACCGTTTGTATTCAAGTATAGTCACATGGACATATAAGTTCATATAGGATAATGAATGAATATACCCCGAGACCCTGTTCGAAGCATGAAGGATCCTAAGGGTTTGGGGCAGAGTTCAAAGGAAGCTTGAACACCATTCACCACAAAGCCCCGAACGCTGGTTCAGCTGTCAACTGGATCTACAATCCCTAGAGGGGAGTCTGAGAAAGCTATGGTAGCCCACTTTGGATCCTACAGGTCGAACGTCGGTTTCGGCCGCTAGGGAGTGCAAACTCCAAACCCAAACTCTAAATCCTAGACCTAAAGCCTGCAAAAAGATGTGATTGTCGATGGTTCCTTGAACAGCAGACTCTACACGAGGTCGACGTTCACGAAGGGGGTGAATGGTCATGGGAATTGGGTTTTATATGGGATCCCACACCATTACAGAGTCTAAAGCATACGTAGGAACTTTACTCAGGAAGTGTTGGTGACCATGATGCTATCGATGATGATGCTGTTCTTGGTGTTTGATGATGACCGTATTGATGACCATGGTGATAATCGTGGTGACGTTGTTGGTGATGTAGGTGACGATGAAGATGATGATGCAGATGATCCTGATGATCACGATCATGATGACGACGATGATGATGGTGATGATGCTGAATGCGGTGATGACCCGCTGCTAATCTGTCCCATACTCCAATGCATCGTGGCTTGCATCGCCACCGTGTTCACGACATTCTGAACGATGCCATTCTTGAATGCCGGCCAGGCAGTTGGGTCGATGAGGTGGCTGGGCATCGTGCGCGCGCGGATGTGTGTGTGTGTGTATGTGTGTCTGTCTGTGTCTGTCTGTGTGTGTGTGTCTGTGTCTGTCTGTGTGTGTGTGTGGGCGTGTGTGTGTGTGTGTGTGTGTGTGTGTGTGTGTGTGTGTGTGTGTGTGTGTGTGTGTGTGTGTGTGTGTGTGTATGTCTGTGTCTGTCTGTGTGTGTGTGTGGGCGCGCGTGTGTGTGTGTGTGCTGATTGCTTCTAAATGAAACCAGATCACAAGCACCAAGGCTCCATGTATCCTTATGACACATATAATGAATATACAATCTCACCCGAAAGTACTCGTGTAGGAACTGCAGTATGGCTCAACATTTTCAACATAGGTACATGGACCTTACTCTAGACCCTGCAGAACCCCCACAAGATCCCTTAAAGCCCCCCGTTGAATGCCTGCAATAGACCCTAAGCCCTAAACCCTAAGCCGCATACCTAGCCCCGTAAACCCTAAACAGACAGGTGGCAATTTGGGAAACTTTTTAATTTCCCTTCTGGTTCCTATAGAGGTACCTACTCATAAATACTTTTCAGAGCCCCAAAACTACAACCCATGACAGATTTACCCCGAGGGTTGCATCCTGAATCATTTTCCCCGCCAGACGTTCGGAGACCGCAGCTTCCAAAGGGCTCCGATACATTATTTTTAGGGAAGCCGGGTTTTGGTTACTTTAGGGTTGTAGGCTTCAGGGTGCTTTGGGGTTCAGGATGTTTTTTTGATTTCGGGTCTAGGGTTATGAAATTTCGAGTTAGAGTGCTAGGACTTGATTCTCAGAACTCCGCACCCGAATCAAAGCCCTGAAGGTGCGCATGTGTAAATTGTAAAGCTTTGACTTCCCGCGTAGTTCCAGGGCTTTGAAATTAATCCCAATAGCATCAGCGCCCTAATAGTTACCTATACAATTTTGGCCGTTCCGTATTATAATTATAGTACAACGGGCCCCACAACCCTATTCCAATTGTTAAGGCCCCTATCTTAAGCGGACCCAAAACGGCCTAAACACAGCATTATGCCCAAGACGACGATATCAAGCTCTGTAAAAACCAACTAGAAAACTGCTTTCGAGCCCGCAAAACATGCAGACCCGGGGCTGTCCTTAAAACGACGAGTACTTTGTATGTTGCACGATGGTCTCTTAGACATGTTGCATGAGGTGCATCTTGGGCCTACTACTGGTAGTATGTTTAATGGTTATCTTTATAATATTACTATCCATGCCAAGTATTCGTATATCACCGTTACTGTTCAATACCATTGTATAAAAGGCTTTGTTCGGTTTAAGCAGGTGGATGCAGACGAGGCAGCTTGATCTCACGAAGGTGACGCTGAGCTCCACAAAAGGTTTAGGGATGTAATTAATTATGATGTACTTCTGATGTAAAGTTTAAGGCATTGGTTTGAGGGCCGGTTAGGGTTGAAGACACGTGGCTAAGTGGAGTATGTTTGTGTTCTGGGTCTGGGTTCTTGTATGGTGACGCCTGAGTCCACATTGCAATTTCGAGTTCTCTCGGGTTGCAGGCCTGCTACCCTAAACCCTAAACCCTAAAGTTCAGCGCTTCTGATTTCAGGCCTTTGTCTGAGCACAGTAGTAGGGTCGTCACATTCCGACCACAAACTCTGCACCACCGAACTCTAAGCACCGCTTATTGTAACCCTAAGGCTCAAAATAGCCCAAAAGCCTTATATAGTATGGTCTTCGGGCCCAAAAGCCTTAAAATATGAGTCCTTAGAGCCTAAGGGTAAGAGAGGCAAAAAGCAAAAAGCGCTCGGCACATTCCAAGTCAACGTCTAGAAGGTTCAGGAAGCTAGGTTCATAGGAAGATCAGTTCAGGTCGACGCCTTGTTCCAGTTACAGTGTTCTTGAATGGGAAACACATGTAATTCTGGATTAGACGTGAATTCGATGCTCTGGGACAGATTTGATTCGGCTTTCGGCAGTTAATCAGTTTCGCATCCTTCTTAACCACAACTTAATTCCGCCCTAAAGCCTGGATTTTTCCAAAGCTCTAGTGCAGAGGGTGCAAAACCATGCAACGTACTAAACCTGGGGTGTCCGGTTTGCTGCAAACTTGCAGGTCAGAGGTAGTTCACCAGAGGGATTCAAGCTATGTTTGATTGAGGCCCTGAGCTGGTGTTGGCGTCCACATCAAGCCCTAGACCCGATGGCGACTTAGCGCTTCAGGGTTTAGGGTCTAGGCCTAAATGGGCAATCTGAGCCCCACCCCACAAACGCTGAACCTTTATTGTCAGATGTGTTAAACGTTAAGGGCTTTTCTCCGCTACACCTTAAACCCTTAAAGGGAACCCTTAAAGGGAAGCCTTAAAAGGGAACCCTTAAAGTGAAGCCTTAGAGGGAACCCTCAAAGGGAACCCGAAAAGCCCCTAAAGAGGGTCTTTCTCGGCCTGAGGACCTATGCCTCCGCTGTTTTGATCTGTGCCAATGCCCGTCGCAACCTGGACCAAGTCTGGCCGTTTTTAGCTTAGGGTTTATATGGTTTAGGAGTTTAGGGTTTAGGAGTTTAGGGTTTGGTGTACATAGTGTCTAGGAGTTTAGGGTTTAGGAGTCTAGGGTTTAGGAGGAGTTTAGGGTTTCGGGTTTTTGCTTTTTTTGTCGCAGACCTTTCAAGGATCTAGAAGTGTTTAGTATTTTGGAACTCCGCCCCTGGAATAGATGTTATCCTACCTTGATCTTGGCTAAAATAGCAAACCCGCCCTGATACGCCCCCAGACACAAATTCCCTGACTCCTAAACCCCCAAAACAACCTGAACAGTTTCGTATTCACATTCTGAAGCTCACGTCAGTATTGGTGGGGGAGTAGAGCAGAATGCCTTGCCATCTTTTTCCAGTCTGTAGGACTCACGCCCAGGGGTTTTAGAGCCTCAGGCTATCGTGCTGCGACCCGCCCTGTCCCTGGGTCGGTCTGATATATTTGCTGGAACTAGCAGAGGGGTGATACCATGTCCTAAGACCTTCGGGCCCCAATACGCGGCCTCATGACGAATACCGCAAGCCGAGATCTTTGAATAAGCTGTTCTTGACCGAGCATGTTGTATGCAGAGCGGAGTCTGGAGTTGCGTCGAGGTGCCCGCGCAGAGACTGTGTTTAACCCGTTTACTCAAGGATTGTAGGAACCACTGTAGCCTGCAGCCTTCCACGCTTCAGTGACCAAAATGTTAGTTTCATCATGGAGACATATCTCCGTGCATACTTCTGCAAGCTCTCGGAGCCTTTGCAGTGGGCAGATTGGTTGTCAGGCGCAGCTTCAGGAGCCTTTGCAGCCAGGTGCAGGGCGCTGGGGGCTTTCCGTCACTCCCGTGATCTATTGGGCAGCCACTCGCCTACAACATTAGCTACACCAACAGACTGTGTGTAAAGTAGTCATTGGATAGTTCCTAGTAAGGGGTCATGGCATTGCTACTTCTTCGGGTGGGCCCTAGTTCTGGGAGCTAGTAGCGGCAACGCCAGCAGGTACCAAAACTGCGGCATCGGTGTGGGTTGTGCCGACAAGCATCCAAAAGACATGCCGAGCTTCTGGTAGATGCAGATCAGTGTGGTCTACATCCGACCAAGGAGGCTATCGCACAGTTGAGGAAGGAAGGCTTCAATGTTCGTACGACTGTTTACGCTGCGCCAGGCAGAAGGAACAGCAAGCAGTGGCGCAAGCTTTTCCAACACAAAGGGATTTCCTTGAGCCCTATTCCTCGAAGCGAAGATGGGGAGGCAAACGACACGGCCATTGAAACAAAGTTACTGCAGCTGGCTCAGTCGAAAGGTTACATATGCATTGCCCTGTTGACTTCCGACAACGATTATGTCGAGCAGGTTCGGGAGATCGCATCTTTGCCCAAGAAGGACATGTGGGTCTTCGTCCCTGTAGGTGGTGCAGCCTCTCTCGCCACTGTCCTTGGGAACTACAATGAAACTAACGCACATGTTGTGCCTGTGGCCACCTCTGCCATACAGGCTGAACAGCAACGGCTTGGTCATGGCACGAAGGTTAGAGCCATTTTGGAAGCGGACGGACATGGAAGTGTGAAGATGGCGGAGCACGGGTTATCCCCTCCGCCTGAACACGAAGGATTGAATCAACTTCGGGAATTTCTGCAGAATCTTGACTATCGTGATGAGAGACGTGAGAGAGAACACCTTCTGCAGTCTGTGGCAAAGTTTTGGTTCATTAACCGCCTGGGACCACTGGCAGTGTATCCAACGCACGCTGCATTTGTGGCAGCATGCGAGGTTCTCCGAGCTTCAAGCGGCAAAACTTCTTGGACTCGTTACCACAATGACCATGCGTTTTTCCTCCCCATAACGAACAATGTTTCTAGGACTGACAAAACGCTCAGAGATTATGGTGGCAGGAAACCAAAAAGAGTTTTCAAAGGTGGAGGCCCTTTCATGATGAAGGATTCTCCAGGCATGGTAGCACAAGTTCTGCGAACCATGGGATATTTGGATGAAGCTTTCAACAGTGACTTGCCCGAGGCTTTGCTTTTGTTCGTGAACAGGTCGGAACACAAAAGCACTCTCCGCAAAATATTGGACCTACTACCCGTCTCCAGCGACACCGCCATCGACGTGGAGTACAAGCTACGGCATGCGTTTCTGTCAAACCTTACCTCCGGCAAGTGGGTTGTTGCTCAAAGAGACACTCATGTACGGAAGACTCTCCGCAGGCACGGTTTCTTGCAGACAATCCAAGCGCCGCAGACAGACGTAATGGAAGCAATGAAGCGATTTGTACGCAGTCGCGGCTTGCGAGAGATGCGCAGCTACAATGGGTACGTTTCGAGCATCCAGCAGCACATGTATCACAAGGACCCTGACAGAGTTGGAAACATCGAGTTTCAAATCTGAGCTCGCTCCGAATGCCGCTTGCTTGGAAGTGGATAGGTGGACTAGGGCTTTGGGTGCTATTTAATACATATCAGGGACTGCGAAGGAATATGTGGCTTTTCTAGCAGCGTATGTAACTTACTTTCGTGTTTTTGGCATCCTGTTTTGTTGTAGGTATGGTGCGCATATGCTGCCGGATCATGCTGGTTACTCCCTCTCCCTCTCCCTCACCCCCTCTCTCTCTCTCTCTCTCTATCCATCCCTCTCCCTCCCTCGAAAAGTCCGTGCACCTATACAGCAAACGCGTTCATCTGAAAGCACGGAAAGGCAAACCAAAGCCTAGATATGTTCTATGGACACAATGACCCTGACCGCCTACGCAGCCTACATGGTACCCTTATACACAGCTCCTAAGCACGCGCATAGGACCCTTGTAGGACCTTTGGGGTAACATATCCATTCTAAATGAGCTCCTGCTAGTCGTGCACAACCGAGGCATAGAAGGCTTATGCCACTGTCGATGCTCTTGAAGAGGTGCAGCTGCATACAGAAATGCCGCAATAAGTTGCAGACACACTGCCAGAACCTCCTGCCCTGTCACCTTGAGTTTGCGCACCGTTTGTTCAGAGCACGTGGTGACGTGAACAGCATTTTTCAAAGGCGAGACGTCTTTGACGTTTGCTGTTCTCGGAGGCCATTTTGAATGTGTGCATTTGCTGCTGCAAGCCGGTGCTGCAAAGGATGAGAAGAACAGGAGTGAGAAAGGTCCTTATGCACGTTGTCAATCGGGGACACGTTGAGGGTGCAGGTTTGCTGCTGCAAGCGAATGCCCGGAAAGGCTGCGAGTTCTATTCAACAATGCATTGTCATAGGCTCTAAACAGTCAGCCTCGGCAGCCGGTGTACGGCAAGCTGGGGTTGTGCAGTAATTGTTGCGCACTAGCGAGGCACCGGACGTGCTGGAGGACATCGTCGTTTATAGAGTCTTTGCCGTGGCTGTCAATGCAGGTCGCAAGGAGGCTCCGCTTTCACTGCCGGAAGCCAGATTTTGGAGTGTGCTTTCGAGCAGTTGCGGGAGCATGTGGCTGCAACCTAAGCCTTAAACCCTAGATAGAGAGGCCACTGCATTGAGAACCTGACTTTTCAGCTCTGCGAGAAGCCCTGGCTGTCGAGCTGATACGCATGCTTCTGGGGTGGAGCGAAAGCCGTGAGCACCCTTCGGATCTCGAAATCCTTGGCTTTGAAATCCTCTCGGACCTCAGACAAGAACAGGACAGAACTGGCAAAACAACACGGGCGACACAGCTTTTGGTGCCGCCTGCCCGACCGTCGGCTGCTGTTAGTCTACTGTTGGAAGTTCGGGCAGAATCGGACATGCCGGACGGCATCCGAGACACGCCTCTCATGTTCGCACTCGGAAACGGCGTCGAATTCGAACGTCTTCTCCCCGAAAATGGTGCGAGCAGGAAAAGGGAGAGCCATTGCGAAGACTTTGCCTGCAGCATTGCAGCTGCCATGGGCCATGCACAAATCTTAAGCTTGCTGGAAGACAACATGTGAGAGAGTTGTTATGCGCAGCAGCTAAGACTCGGGCAATCAAACCAAGACGCTTCTCTGAAAGCCAGCATGCTCATGCTTAAGAGGCATTCTCGTAGAGCATGCCGGAAGGTTTGTGTCATGAGGCTGTCTCCCAATAGCCAAATACAAATCTGGAATGGGCAACAACCCAGGTACCGGTACAGTAGTCTGCGATCCCGAGCATAACTTCGGGATGCTCCTTACTTTTGGCTGAGTTACACAAACACTAGCTTACCAAGCAGATAAAGCCTTTACAAGAGCTGCAGAATGCATCCAGCAGGCAATTGGTTTGGTAATAACCTTTAGTCCTAGAGTCCTTTTTTGGTGACGATTTGGAAAGCTCAGGTTGGCCGGAGGCCGCCGATCTTCTGGAACGCATGGAGGGCTCGTCGATGAAGCCAGCAGCTGCAAGCTATGCGCCTTAGCAGGCATTTAGGGGCAAAGGCCGATAAACCCAAAGACCGTGCACCCGGAGCACTTTCACAGCTCTTTCAAGCCAACACGCGTCTGCAGACCTGGACTGTACTTGGAGCTTTATTCTGAATTCCACTTGTCGGCGTGCTCTGCCTTCAGGCGGAACCACTAATTCTATGGATAGTCTCAACGGGACCCCAAAACAAAGGAGCCCTAAACCCCCATAGTAACCGATAGGAAACCCTTAAAGTAACCCTTAAAGGGACCCTGATTGCCTCAACAACGAGGCAGCTTGATTAAGGGTTACAGTCGTTTTAGCAATCCGAAGTTCATGTTTCAAGAGCTGGATCTAGTTTAGGGCTTAGGGTTTATAGGGTTTGGTTTGGGGTTCGAGGACTCCAGGGTTTCGAGATTTAGTTAAGGTTGTAAGGGCTGGCTCAGGACCCATGTCACGGTTTAGGGTTTAGGGTTTAGGGTTTAGGGTTTAGGGTTTAGGGTTTAGGGTTTAGGGTTTAGGGTTTATTTTCCTCCAGTGCTTTCCTTGTGTCCGAGCAAGTTCAGTTAGGACTCGGCACTGCATGTGCAACCAGCACCCAACAAAAACCCACAACCCCAGATTGCCCCAAACGCATCATAAATAAAGCGTTTGTAACCACCGAGAATCAAAACTAGCGTCCTAAATCTGTAGTCACGTAGTCCTACTATTCTTCAGATTGCCTTAGCTTTACCTTTATTTGTAGTATAACCCCAGTAAAAGACTTGGTCCAATCATTCAGCCTCCTGTATGGCTATATGAATCATGACAACATCCCAGCCGAGCCGTGTCCGGAAGTACGGAGTTTTTGTTGGGCACTTCTTAGCAGTCAGCTCTACACAAGAAATATCTAACCTGAAGATTCCATGAACAAGACCCCATAAAGGAGTTAAGGGCATAGGACGTGTTCAGGTTTAGGGTTCCAAGTTTCTGAAGCCCCCCCAAAGTCAAAGTTTTTTCAATCCGAAACTCTAAGAACCGAAACCCCAAACCCCATACATGCTTTTCAAACGGTTTAAGAAACAACAGTTTTTGTACAACTCGCGAGGCCCTGCATACAAATCACCCCAACGAACCTTAAAAACCTGCCCATCTGATTACACAACTTATGAAGCCTTACGCCCTGAAAACTCATAAGATTCATTCCCAGATTGCAAGAACCCAAAGAAAATTTGTAAAGACTCTGCAAAACACTAAAAAATCAGAACATGCAGAGCATCCTGCAGTCCTACAGCAAAAATCAAGCTACGACCCGTTTCTCGAGGCTTTAGTTTTGTCGGAACTGGAGCAGCGTGCCGTCACGGGGCCCGAGCAAACACTCATGAGCCGTGCTTCTGGCTGCATCAAGGGCCCAGAGTTTGTCTAGTTTAGGGAAAAAAGAAACTTCTCTTCAGGGCTTTCTCGGGTTTGACGGCGTTCCTTTGTTTTTGTTCTATCTATCTGTCGTTGTATATGTATGTATATATATATATATATACATCTAGGCTTGTTACAGGAAGTTTTCAAAGCTGAGCTTTAGTGTTTCAGGGTGCAGGATTTCAGGGCTCCACAATGTTCGGGTGTAGGGTTTCTGAGGCTCACAGGCTTCGGCGGCTTGCTTCAGCATGACGGCAACTAGCTGCACCCTATACAGTAAACCCCATAAAGTTGGAAACCGGCTGAAGGCCAAATAGTGCTTGGATTCCCTATACGTTGCTCTTAGGGATTGAGGCTACGGGGTTTCCAACTTTTGGGCTTCTACTGTAAGACCCTCCCTGTTAATTGGGGATCCTTGTTGTGATTTCTTTGTATCAGTCCGTAAGAAGGTAGGTTATTTGATTTGAAATCCATGTGAAGCCTATAGCTGGTATATCTCAAAACTCTTTGACTATAAAATTAAAGCTCATCTCAACGCCCTGCAGCCTCGGGTTGTGTTTCAGAGTTTAACCCTTGACTCCACGCACTGACAAGCTGGGGAAATAGGTCAAAATGCTGGGAGTTTCCAAGGGCATGATTCGCAAATAGTTCTTAAGACTGACAGCTTCCGGTTCAGGGTCTAGGTTTAGGGGACCGTGAAACCCTGCATACGTTCGTACACATGTGTGTTGAGTAAAACCTCCCCAGACCAAGAACGTAATTGTCGCAGTCCTCCAAGTAGCGCTGGTTGCGACAAAACTCTTGTTGCCTGCACTAGTATCACCTACGGGGAGCCTTTTACAGCCCTTTCAACTCACAAGAACCTTACTCAACAATGGGACAGGAGCTTGAAGACCAAGTTCGGTTTTGATAAAGGTGCAAGAGCATGTACTTGTACAGTGTACAAATATCGTACATCTCCAGAAGCGCAAGTCCGTGGATTGACTGCTTGGCCTAGGTGTTTGGATCTACCTAGACCCTCAAATGTGGCACCCTTTCCCCTTTAACAGGATCCTACCCAAGGATTTGATTTTGCCCGAACATGTACAGGCAAGGTCCCTTTACAGTTAGGTCTCGGCTTTCAGCGGTCAGGGGTAGCTACGTCGGGCGACATAGTACCGGGGGGCTGAACGGCTGGTGAGGGTATCCCCTCACAGGCCCCATACGCTTATGCTACACTACTACACTATGAATTCCGAAACCAAAGGCCCTATCATCCCTAAACCCTCAATCCATCATCACTTATTCTAGCGCGGTCCAGTATGGGCTTGGCCGTGGCGCCCGAGCTTTATGTTTCCGGTTTATGCTTGTTGCAGCTCAACCCCTCGCAAGCTCAAACCCTGCCATAACATCAAACCATCATACGATCCCGACATGACATGACATAGAATAGAGCCTTGTGAATGAAAAGGTTACAAATCGAATCGAACCCTGGAGAGAAGAGTTTTGGAATCCCAGAGCTTCCACGAACTTGTTCCAAGGTCTTTCTGCCGCCGCTGCCAAGACGCTCAGCCAACCGGCAACGGAAAATCGCTCGAACCCTGCGCCCAATAATCCTAAACCTTAAGCCAAAAACCCTTGCTTCGTGAAATAGATGTCTAACACGTCTGAGTCTCCACGACCCTAAACCTTAAACACTCAGCCCGGAACCTTACCTGGACCCAGAAGAATTCACCTACCTTCTTAGGTTTCCTTATCAAGAGTTCTCTTACATAAGTCCTCCAAAGAGTAGGTTATTTGGGGTTATGAGGTAAGCCCGAAAAGTCGAATTTGTCTGAGTCCCCGAGACATCCCTGAGTGTTCATGTTTCTTCCTTGGGGTGTGCAGTTTTCAGCACGTTAGGAAAACGTTTGGTCCGAGTCCATCTTGACCGGTATGTACCTGCCTGCCGCTATAAAAACATGCAGAGCTATGCGCATCTATGGTTGCAAGATTTACGGCTGAGACTGGCATGGTTGCTGTTCTTGCCGTTGTGGGGTCGTTTGTCTTCGGAGCCCCTGGCGGTGTAACGGGCTAAGGGTGTGCAGGCTTTCGAAACGAACCTGTATGCTAGCGTTGAGGTTCGACGGGGGCTAGCAGGGTTTGCTAAGCGGCTCGAGGGGGCTGCTGAAGTCGAGCGGCAATTACGGAAGCCACATTCACACAAGCTTGCTGGAAAAAGACAGAAAGAGAGAGAGACAGAGAGAGAGAGAGAGTGTGTGTGAGAGTGTGTAAACGTGTGTTTGTGTCCGCACACCAAACCGTTCATGACCACCAAGCAAGGACAGCCACAGCCGTCCGGAAGTGAGCCGCAAGCTTAAGCAGAAGCCCTAAGCCGAATGCATCCGACTGAATCCTCATGAAACGAGATGCAACCAAACCGTGATAGTCCCATGCCCTGAAGCCCACCACAATTTCACATGTGACGGCCGGCAAGCCCTTACAACCCCCCCATCATGCCATGTTTCCCGTGACGACACTAGAGAGCAACGGCAAAACAGTCCGAAAACCCTGAGCGTCCGGCTCGCGACCCTAACACTCACGATCCCTACCTTGATCTAAACCCCTGCAGGTCTTAAACTCCAAACCAAAGCCGATTTCCGCTAGACTCTACACCTTACTGCTATTACTGCACACGCTACAAAATGCACCCCGAACCAAAGTACCTTGCACAAATTACATGGGAGTTTCCGAAAATAGGGGACCCATGGGGACCCTAATATAGTAACACATAAAGGAGGATGCTATAAGGACTTGAAAAATAAGGTATCCGTAATTTCGGAAACTCTCACATGACGTCCATCGCGGAATCGCTGGAGCTTCACCACAGCGAACGCTTGGTAGCAGCAGACGATGAGCGTGTTGCGGGGTGCTGAGTTGACGCTTTAGAGCTTTGGGTTTTCGGAGTTTGCCGTTTAGGCGTTTAGGGTTTAGGATTTTCGGAGTTTGCCGCTTAGGAGTTTAGGGTTTAGGGCATGGTTTCCAGGCTTAAACAAGTTTAAGGTGTAGGGTTCGCGGGTGGCTCTGGTTTGCTCCTGGAACCATTCTTGCGCGAGGCCTAAAACATGTTGCTCCTTGGCTACCTCAGAACCAACAGAACAGAATTTACTCCGTGTCACGAACATAGTTCATCTCGAAGAAGGCAAAAAATAGACGTTCAATTCATGGCAGACGACGGAACAAGCACACTTGCTAAACCTCCTTGGTCCCTTCAGTATAAAATCCTTTCAAATTATGGATTCCTTCGTTGAGCACATCCATATAATGTATGCCGGTATAAGACTCGGAGGAAACCTATAAAACCCAATGTGGGACTGGATAGGGTTGAGAGTCCGTGTTTTTCAGGGTCTACGGGCTTTAGGGCTTTGGGGGTTGTGCTCAGGGTTTGCTCAACAGCTCCTTGAGGACTTTCGTGCTGTTTGGCAGCTGACTTCTATGTCCTTGGGCGTGGGCCTTTTCGCGATTCCGCTTGGGCCCAAGTGCCGCAGAGAGGGAGGCAGTGGCTTGGATTTCGGGGGTGTCGTGGTGTTTGGGACATTTGGGTGTAGTAGAGTTCGGGGCTTGAATTGAAGCCTAAACCCTAAAGTCCTAAAGTAGCCTAAGTCCTGAAACTCCTAAATCTCAAACCCTAAACTCCCAGAACCTAGAACCTAAATCATAATCCCCCATAGCCCTAGAACCTTAAGCCCTATACTCCTATTCCCTCAACCTTGAAGCCCCCAACTCGGGTTTACTGCTCCTCATTCGAGGGGTTTGGGCAAGACAAGGTTGACTCTTACATCGAGTAGGGCTCCGTTAATACGGTTCGTTTCAAAGAGTGTAGTATGAGGGGTAGTAAAGCCCATATAGAAGGCATCTCACAGGGAATTTCTTGCAGCTGCCTCAGCTGCATCTGCAAATCGGGATTTCGTGGTTTCGCCCATTCACAGACTGCGAGTTCAATATCCTCAACTGGCTTCACTCACTCAACTCTTAACCTTTCGGAACCCCTGTAGGGGCCAACATATATCATAGTGTATATCTATATATACATAATGTACATATTATAATATTTTCATATGACAAACTGTCTTATGTATAATTAACCGTTTATTGCATATAATGCCTCTCCACAGTTAGGGACATCGTAAGACCACCTGCACCTGTGTAAGAGCCGGCGCAATCCCCCAGCCCGCGAAGCCCCAAACAAGACCTGAAGGGTCATATCTAGGGTTTAGGGTTTAGGGCTTCGGAGGGTTAGGGGTACCTTACCTTCTTTTCTATAGAAATGATCCTAGCTACAGAACCCGGGTACCTTTCTAAAGACCAAGCAAAACTCAACGAATTACAATCTCCTTAACGTAGAGCTCCCTGCTATGGAACGAAAGCCCGAACACTCCCAACATCAACAGTGCAGTGACTTTGTTTATGGCAGCGAGTCGTTGGCTTACATACCGTGGGTATTTCGAATGCGGGGTGTGTGTATGTATGTGTACATTATACATGGAAATATATCATTTTATATGTATATGTAGATGTACATGTATATGTAGATGTATATATATATATATATATATATACACAAAGTTCACAAACATATACATATATGTATGTATATATGTGTGTGTATATATATATATATACATATATATACATATATATATATATGTGTGTGTGTCCGGTAGTACACCCTTGTTGGATAGCCGGAGCCCTCCGTTAAGGGACCCTCATAAAGACCCTACTAGAGAGTAGGACTCTCCATCTATGGACCCCTGAATGGCGACCTCGATTTTGCTCAAGCCTTTCTTGTTTGCTCTACTTGTAGCCCCAAGCCGAAACAAATTGAATAGCAGGTCTTGACCCCTTCGTTGTAGGGTTTTTCGGATCCTAAACCCTCAGCCTTATCGGTTGATGATATAAATCCTGCCTGCATTACCTTAAAGACCCTAAACTATGAGAATTATGGTATATTCCTTATCATGGGCAATGCAGGATTTATATCATCAACCGAAGCACTCAAAGAGAGAACCTATCGAGGTATTGCTTCGAAGCAGTGGGATGGCTGGTGGGTGCTTTGCTGGTGGTCGCCGGCACACTCAGTTGGGGGTGCAGCATTGAGGGTTTAGGGTCAGGGTTTAGGGTTTAGGGTCAGATGGCTCAGGGTTTCGTTTGTGGTAGAGACTTTTTTTGCATGGTGTAGGGCTTGCAAGTCCAAAGTGCTGGGCTGTTGGGGGTTCTACTCTAGGGTTTGAGGGATTGTTGGGTTTATGGCGGTTTGCTTAGGGCTTCTTAGCAATCATGAGATTCTGCCATTGCAACAGAACCAATGCAGAGCTGGAACATTAGATGCAGCAGCGAAGAGCTTCGCATGCTTTAGGTTTCAACAGCCGTGCTTGGGAAACATGGTCCCGCTTAATGTAGGAACCTGATTAAGAAACCTTGGGCCTATAATAACCCCAAAATAGTAGGATTCATATAAGGAACCCTAATCAAGGCCCAAGGTTTCGGCATCAGGTTCCCACATTAGGATTTAGAGCATGCTCATGATCACGAGCTTCGTAGCTTCTGAGTAGGACTGACTCCTCAAGACGTCCCTCATCCTGTAGCAGTTCCAAAGTCCAAACACGATACCTTAGCTGGGTTTTGGGTACCTCGAAGCCCTTTCATTACGTACTTGGATCCCTCATAACAAGATGTCTGTTGTAAATTCGTCCAGTTTTGGGCAGGTAGGGAGTGCGAAGTAAGAGAATGCGAAGGGTGCAGTGCTAAGGTCTACAGAATTACGGTTTAGTGAAAATTTAGTGCTTGTGAGGTTGAGGGTTGGTATGGTTCAAGCTTTATGTTTGCGGTGTTGTGCGGTTTGTTGGGGCTTGCATAGGGTTTAGGGTCGGCCAATATGTATACAGGGTTTCGGGTTCATAGGGTTTTGGGCTCACAGGGCCAAGCGCTTGTAGGGTTCTGAAGCCCTGAAGCCTTAAACCCTAGACTCAGACGTTAAACCCCAAACCCTAAAGCCTTGAAGCCGTAAGTATCAGAGGTGATCCGTATGCCTGCGTCCGCTTCGGCTGAAGCTCCAGCGATGGCCGTAGGATTCGGGGTCGTGCTCGAACGCCCGATCCCTCCCCCCCTCCCCAAACTCCTGAACTCGTAAACTCTAAGCCCTAAACTCATCAAGTGTAAATTACAACTGATTTGTTAGCACGCAAGTTCCAAGCAGCCGAGATGATCTTTTGCGCAGGCTACGAACATGCGTCTCTGAGCCCACCAAACGGACAGAACTCCGTGCCGACCGTGTCCCAGAGACTCCAATACCCCTTAATTAATGAAGGAAACACCTCAAATTAATCTAGGATCCCTAATCTGATATAAGGATTATACCTTAAATTATTCTACGATTCCTAATATAATTTAAGGGATATTCCTGAATTAAGGGATACTGGAGTGTCGGGGTTCGTGCCGACCGTGTCCAAGCATGGCACCCGGGCCACCTCCGCCGCCAGAGACAATCAGCTTCCATGGCTGGGCAAGGCTGCACGAATCTTGGCATCGATTTTGGGCTTTAGGGTTTAGGGCTTTAGTATTTAGGGTCTATAGGGTTTAGGGGTTTAGGGTTTAAGACTTTAGGGTTTAGGGCTTTAGGGTCTATAGGTTTTACGGGTTTATGGTTTAAGACTTTAGGGTTTAGGGCTGAACGATTCTTGGCATCGGTATAATGTAGGGGCCTCAATGATTAGAAAAGGGTTCTGGAGATCCCTTGTTATATTTGTATTATTATAGCTTATAAAATTAACCCCAAACCCTATTCTAATTATGAAGGCCCCTATATCAGGGCTTGCGGGGATTGGGGTTTGAGGGTTTAGGGAAGTGATTCATGGCCACGGAGTTTGGTGGTTTGGCAAGGATAGCGTCTATGTGTTTCAGCTATGTAGGTTGCAATCTTGTAATAGTATCGCACATACTACTCATACTACTGACACTGTAATGGTTAAGCTGTGGAATCTTACAATCAGATGGAGACAGATGCAAAAGGAGGAGCTGTTTCCCCGAAGGCTACTCTAAACATGTCGCCAGCTTTCTGATAGCATACTGGCGTCAGGTTTTACGAAGATCAGTTCAACATGTTGTACACGTGCCGCCACAAGACTGCTTCAAACCCACTGCTGCCCAACGATGACATTCTGTGGCAGTATGCCTCCGGCCCGGGGAATACAGGCAACAGATCTGCATCCATAAAGTTACAATCTGTAGAGATGCCGGCTGACATGCACTTTGCGCCTTGAAGAAGCCTTGGTTGGCAGGCCCGATGCATTCAAATGTGTCATGAACCGTCAACAAGGGACCCTAAGTAGCTCTCACTGAGAAGAAGCAGTGGCTGATCCTGCTAGTATTGGTATTGCTTCTCCTGTCGGCACCTGGTGTTAGATAACCACGTCACTATTCCCCACTCACCCCAAGGGCCCCTCGAAAACGGCAAAGTCATCCCGAAAGCAGACAAGCGCATTTGAGGAGTCGTCCTTCTTGCTGAAGGTCCAACAGAGTGCCAGGGTTAGAATCATGCATCCGCTTCGGGATACTGGGCTTCAGTTTGTTGATCTGTAAGTTTGCAGCTGACAGGGTTTGCAGAAACCATCTCTCGGAATCAGAAGCTGTTCCACCGGGTTCTGTCTATAGCACCTGTTGGTTTAGAAACGAGTCTACCCTAAGGCTCCATAGTAGTTCCTTTTTAGGGTTCATACTTAGAATCCTATAAGGTATCCCCAAAAAGGAACTACTTTGGAGCCTCTGGGTAGAGTTTAATCAGGGTTTACAGAGCTTAGGGATTGGGATTTAGGGTTAGGGTTCAAGGCATCCCTGACCTACGGTAGAAGCCAGAAAGTTGGAACATCATTCTCCTCATGCCCTTCAGGTAAAGTATAAGGGATCCTAGCATTAATCCTCCTAAAGCCATGTTCCAACTTTCTGGCTTTTCCTGTACTGGAACTCACCTTCGGATTTGGCTCCTACATATAAATCCGTGGCACAAAGTTTGACCATAAACCCTAAGCCCTAAACCGTACTTAATTTCCTGGACCTTATCCAGGATAGGGGCAGCAATACGTAATTCGTTGAAATAGGGCATAGGCTCACATGACAGTAGTATACTTTTTCTAGCAGATGTTTAGAGACCATAAGGGGATGATGTTTTCATTTATTCTGGCTCATGTACAGTGGTCTATTCCAGGGTCACCGGTTCGTTTCAAGGCAGTTTTGCGATTCATAAATGAATAGAGGGTCTGCAGGGTTGTACGGTTCATAAGGCTTTACATTGTTTGTATGAAGCAGGGTCTCTCGCGGTTTGTCTGCATCACTGCATGCAGCTAGCGTGGGATTGGTCTAAGCGGGTTTGGATATCAAAGGGGCAAAGGAGGGTCCCTTGATGGGGACCCCTGCCCTATAATGGGCTATATAATGGGTATATAATAGCTATATTAAGGGTATATACCTAGGGGTCCTTATTAAGGGTCTCTCCTTTTACCCCTGGAGGATATTTCGACTTCGGTAAAATACATCGCCTCAGGGCCTCATCTTCATCTCCTTCGGCCGGAGTGTAGGTGATTTGCTCGTGACTGTGAAGGTGATCCGGATTCGGAGCTGTGCTGCGCATGTTCGATTTTGAGTTTTAGTGTACACCCTTGGCTGAATGTTTTGTCTAGATTCAGCCGAACAGGTTCATCCCAATTTATATAATATGCCAGATGCGAGACCAGACAACCGCTCCACTCCCTAAGCCCTCAACACCCAACACTTTAAGAGTTCCAGCATGTTCCTGAAACCTAAACCCTAAACCCTAGACATTTGAGGGCCGTTCGCTTAGACATCTCTGAGGTACTGGGTTCCAGCGACTCATTGGCAACTACAGCAAGCTCTTCAGTGTGCCTCTGGACGACGACAATCTGCAAAGCTTCGCGGAGGTCAGAAGTCGTCTTGTGATCATGCCGATGATTCTTGTTACTATGACGAAAGTAAAGTTATTGCTATTCTTGTGTCGGATTTGCTTTATATACCGTTCATACTGTCAGTTTGAGTCTGAATATGTTTCTGCTTTGTGGGTTTGGTTGCAACAGTATAGGAGCTGTGACTGGTGGGTGAACTGCTTCCAAGCTCAGTCGTCTTGCCACCGTGGGCTGTTGACGAACTGTCTGGGGTCAATTTTCTCTCTGTGATGGGCTGATGGGCTTGATTCTATAATTGGGTTTTTTCGGAAGCGTTGCTATTCGGGTCTTTGAAGGCATTTGGGGTACATGGACTCGGGACAGCGGGACAGGTTTGAGTGTATGTGCTGTTTCGCGGGATGGGTAAGACCAGGCGTTTGGGTTCAGTGTTTGAGGGTTGCATCTTCTTCGATGGAAAAGAAACTCGTTCCGGTGCTCTACGGGAGCCGTAACAGGTTTTGTCCGCAGTAAGACCCATGGCCTTCGCCGTCAAGCCTGAACCCAAACTCTGCCTACTGCGACACTATCCCCTCCATGCAGGATGTGTGCCGCTGCTGCCTCAGCGAGGCAGACGATGCGATGTTCAACTCCGCATCACTGGAAGCGGCCCTTCAGGCCGCTCGTCTGATGATGACTTTGAGGCTAATGCGATGCAGGCGACGACCATGACGACGACGACGATGGGAGCAGGACAGTCAGGAGGCAAACCATGGTTCCCATGGTGATGACACTGCCGTGTTCATGATCTTGGCAAACTGGTTGGTAGGAGGTTGGTAGGAGGATGAGTGGTAGTAGTCGTCGTCGCATCGTTGTTGTCGTCGGGGTCGTCGTCAGTCGTGCCGAGAAGGAGGAGCAGCAGAGCCATCACTGGTATGAGTAGGCACTGGTAACCCCACGTTTAGAGAAAACGGTTGTCCTGCCATGACTCACTTCGCAAAGGAGGTGGAGCATTACAAGCAGAAGCTGAATCTTTGCAACTCGCCTGTGCACATTGGCTTTGGCCTTTGCTGAGCGATGGCGTCTCAGAGCTTCAGAGTTGTGACAGGCATACTCCTGAAGTGGCTACTACTGCAGGGTCTAGAATCTAGACTTCCGCTTACTGGACACTCCCTGACTGTCGCACGACCTGTCGACAGTCGACAGTATCGAGTTCCGAGTTCACAGAGCCGTAGATACACACCTCAACTTTAGTCCGGACGATGCTCTAGCGCCGAAGCTAACGTTGTGAAGAGATCGCCTGCGACGGCTGGTCTATGGATCCAATAAATAGCCTAAGGCTCCATAGTAGTTCCTTTTTAGGGCTCATATTTAGAATCCTATAAGGTTTCCCCAAAAAGGAACTACTTTGGAGCCTCTGGGTATGCAGGAAGCATTTCTGTGCGATTCACGTCGGCTTTCTGGTTGGATTAGTGCAAACATACGCCTCACAAGAGGATGTTCAGTTGTTTCCAGTAATTAGCCATGTCAACGACTCTCCGAGCTAAAGACAAATGGCCAACGAGCCGGACGTTAACCGGATAGGTGTACAGAGCGAGAGAGCCCGACAGACCTTGACTTATATTATAGACTCGATCAGCGGTCACATGCACAACATAACGACAAGATAAACAACGTGGCTCGAAGATTGAGCCACCTAGTTACAACTGAACCACACTCCAGTAGCTAAAACCCAATACCCTAAAGCGGGTCAGTCATTGATACCACTCAAACTCTAAAAAAACCCTACAACCCAAACCCGAAACACTTCCCTATCGCCCCAGAATACATAGAAACCAAAACCCTCAGAGAGGCAACTTGTCAGCCATGAAGCAGATCGCAGCCATGCGCGACGGCCATGAGTCCGATATGCTCAAGGCACCTCAGCATCTGGCATTCAAGCTTGCTGAAGGGTTCATGGGACTGAGTATCTGGACTTATAGATAAGGCAACTTTTCCTATAGTTGATTATAACCCTTAAGCTACTTATAAAGTTACTAAGTCCCATGAACCTCCAAGTGGGGTTTGGGAGCTAGGGCTCCATGACTTTCGGACTTTCGGTTTTGAGGTTTGGCGTTTAGAGTTTACGGGCTTCGGATTTGAACTGGGATTGTTGGGGGGGGGGGGGGTGGCGGCTTTCTAGTTCGGGTCTTGGCTTTTTTTGGGAAAGACTGCTAGAACCCCAAAATAGCAGACCTTCAACTTTAAACCCAGAAACCCCCAATCCAAATTCCGAATCTCTTGTGTGCCAAAGCTCTGAAACCTAAACACAACTCCCTCAAACTCCCTACTGGCCCACTCCAGAACAAAAAAAATCCTAGAATTTTGATGGAGCCCGTAAGGGAAGCATCCTTTTTGAAGCCTTTCTTGCAACCTGGGACATGAGATTTCGTACGAGATTATGCAGCCTCAACAAAATCATAAGAAAGCCTCCTAAGACTCAGACACCTGCGTCCCTGGAGGACGACACCATCGTTTTTCATGAGCCGCTGCACTACATGGACGAGGCCCCTCCGCCTCCGTGTTCTTGGAGGTTCGTGGGAGTTAGTAACCACAGTTACATGTACCTTAAGTGGGGTTATAACTAGTTATAAGTATAGTTAACTTAATTATAACCGTAGCCACTAAGTCCCATGAACCTCTAAGTTTGACGTTGTTTAGGGAGTCGGTGGTTGGGCGCCAAAGTAGCAGTGGGATTGTCCTTTTCGGGCTCACGTCAAAGCTGCCACAAGGGCTTTGGTGATTTTTATCAGTAAATTCAATTGCAAGTTTTGCAGAGGTTTCGGTTCTTGCTACAGACCATAGTCACAGGGACTGTCAGTGTACATTACTACTTCGTATTCTCGTTGAGTATACAGCTTGGTCATGAAGACGGTCCTCCAAGCTGGTGTGGGACTTCTTTACCTTGTCTAATGTAGGGGCCCTGATATTAGTTAGAATAGGATTTTGGGCGTTGCTTATTATATTTAAACTGTAGTTAGATACCACCCAAAACAAATGTTTTGCAAATATTAAGGTTCCTGCATTAATTACTTTGGGGAAGCTGTTGGTATTATTGTCTGACCGCCACGCATCCAGAAATCATTTTGTCACACAAGTCTGACTCTGTCGGCCTATGTTACAATGTTAGTTCTATCACCGCGAAACACTAAACTCCTGAAACCTTATAAATAAATTATATATATATATATGTATATAGAGAGAGAGAGAGAGAGAGATACATGTATATGTAGGCCCGTCCCTTTTTAAACCTACCAACCCAGGAGCAGCAGAAGTTGGTTCTTGCCGTAGTCTGTGACAAGCATCTCGGAGCCGGAATGGGGTGAGGGTTCCTGGTTTAGGGCTGTTTGTTTTCACGGCTTTAAGCAGGAGAGTTTTTTCACCTTTTCAGGTAAACGGTTCAGGTTTTGCTGTTTTGCCCTAAACCCTTCGCCCACGAAGTGTTGTTGCTTTAAGGTGGTCTTTAGCAGCTTGGGCCACGGCCTCCTAGGCCTTGTGCGGCTCTTTGGTTCAGTCTTTGCTTAGGACTCAGAGTTATGTGCTTCCGGTTTAGGGTTTAGGATGTAGAGCTCGGCGTTTGTTTAGGACTTGTTTAATAGTAGGATCCTTATTATAAGGACCCCAAAACAAGGTACCCCCAATTTTCGGAAACTCCCAACATTCAAGGGTCTTACGGACATGTGCTGGTCAGTTTTCGGGTGCTAAGGCCTGTCGGAGTTCAGGTTTGCGAGCTTGGGGCCTTTAGTGGAGTTCTAGCGGGGGTTGGTGCCAGACAGGCCTCGGTTTGTGTGCATGAATTCCATTGAGCCCCAAACCCAGTCTTCTGAGGTTCGAAGTTTCGTAACGAAGATTAGGGTATACGGCTCAGGGCTTGGCTTAGATGTTTGGGATGGTTTACATGGGCCGTAGCCGCAGCGTCTTGCAGCCAAGGCTCCGTCAACTAGAGAACGGCTCAGCGCCGGCCTCCTTGGCTACTTGTGCGTGAGGAGTTTCTACCATGCCTTTCTCTATCTATAAACCCTACAAAACCCTAAACCCCGAACCTCTAACCAGACCCTAAACCCTACTACCTACTGAAGCCTGAACCCCTAAACCCTAAACACTAAACCTTGAGGTAGCCCAAACCTAAAACGTCACCTGCTTGCTGTTCAGGCGGAAGATGACCCCTGTCATGTTACCTAACATTCCCGACTACGCGCAGCAGATTTAGGGCTTTGGGTGGAGGTTGTGTTATCTCCTCAAGGCTCCAAGTACCCAAATAGCAGGGTTTCAAGGTCCAGAAACCATTCAGAGTATGGATTTTGGGACCTAAAACCCTATTATTTGGGTACTTGGACCCTCTGGGCCTTGTATTTCCGGACTTCGGGGTCGCGCGCGAAGGGGTCGATGGAAGGAGCCTCCATGGCGGTAGAGAGCCCAAAGGCTCCATGTACCCCTTAAGGGTTCCTTTAAGGGTTCTATAAGGGCTCCTTTAAGGGTTCCTATAAGGGTTCTATAGGGTTTAGGGTATAAGGCTCCATGGTACCATTATAGTAGAGACTTAAGCCTTAAAGGGGTCCCTATATGGGTACTTCAAGGCCTAAGTATATACTATATGGGTACATGGAGCCTTAGGGGAGGTGGAGGGAGGGGGGGAGAGAGGAACAGGCAGACACTTAGTATACAGAGTTCTGAGAGTCTCCAGTTTATGACTCGGTTGCAGGGAGTTTAGTTCATGGCCTGAAGCCCTAATCATCAAGCTGAGCACTGTAGAATGCTTGTTGTTCGGTTTAGGGTTTAGGGGTTTAGGGTTTAGGGGTCTTTGAAATACAGCTACTTGCCATCGAACCCCGGTGGATGAGGTCCCACAAAACTGTGTTCCAAGATCCGAATTGGTACTACCGACAGACCCCTGCACCTGACCCGTCCCCGCAGCTGCCACTCTACTTCAGAGTCATGACATGCTATAGGGGCCTCAATGATTACCTATACTCTTTTGTGGGTTCTTTATTACATAAATGTACCCCAAAACCCCTATTCCAATTATGAAGGCTCCTCTGTTACTGGGAACAGGTCAGTTCTCTTGAAATTGGTGTGCACTCTCTATACATAGAGCCCACAGCCTCAGCCGTGCATGCTTCACGAACGCGATGACAGAACTCCAAGGTGGAGGCACTGACTCGGTATGCGAATGCGTTGCTTCTTGGCTAATCGATGTTCAGCGTTCGAGCTCAATGCCAGTCGGGTTCGAGAACAGAACGGAGGTTCTACAGGAAGATTTGGCGAGTTTATTGATTGGGTGGTTGGTTGACTACGTCTAGTAAGAGAGGTTACTTTGGACAACGGCCGAGTACCATTCAGTGACGAGACTGTCATGTGGAAAGTTGCGCATTTCGTGTGTTTCGAGAGCGTTGGCCGTAAAACCTGAACTGCATGTTTGTGAGCTTGGGCCGTATTATGGGGTCTAGGAAGCCACTGGACTTTGTTGAGATCGCCGTAGCACATCACGCCCCAAATCCCGATTTCTTGAACAACAGCCTTAAACCAAAAACCCTAAACTCTATGCCTGGCTTGTTAATTCGGCAGAACTCTAAGCGCCTTGCGTGAAAACTCTACACCCTCAGAGCCCCCAAGCCCAATCACCTTCAATCGCCCTGTCAAAAACATGCTCAAACCCTACACCCCTTAAACTCTAAGCCCTTGTATCAAGTACCTTACCCCTGAGCCCTAAACCCTAAACCCTAAACCCTAAACCCTAAACCCTAAACCCTAAACCCTAAACCTTAAACCGAACCACAGAGACAGAAAGGCTGATGCAAGAGGAGTGCGCTGGCCTCGATGAGTTGTTGGAGGTCTTGGGTTTCAGTGTTGATTATGAGGGTGGCTTGATGTTTGTTTAGAATATCGAATAATGTTTTGGGGTGTGTATAAATAAATATATATATATATATATATCTATATGAACAGGAACCCTGAGCAATGATCTTGATAGTTTTGTTCAGACTTCTGCAGTACGTGTTGATGGAGGGGAACCGGGGGACTGCAGGAGTCGTTTTTGATTTTGCTGGAGGGAGGGTGTGTGTGTGTGTTGTTTTGTTGGCGGTTCGCCTGTTTGGGCTTCAGGGTTTGGGGTGTTGTGGGTTACTTGGAGGTTCATGGGACTTAGTAACTAGGGTTATAAATAAGGTAACTCTACCCATAATGACCTTTGACCCCAGTTAAGGTACGTATCGCTGTACTTACGAAGTCCCATGAAACTCCAAGTAGCTTGAGGGCCAAAGCTTGACTCCGTGTCCTGGGTTGTCGAGTTTTGTCGATGGGTTAAATGTGTTTTGAACCTGCTGCTCAGGTTTCGATAGGGTTGCAAAAAGTGGCGTATGATTTTTCTCTGGGATGTTTCGAAATTGAAGGGTTTTGGGGTTCACCGCTTTTGGGATTTTACGATAGCAAGTTTCAGGGTCTAGAAAACATTGGCTCTTCGGGGTCAAAGAGTCCAGGTCTTCCCCGACTGTTCAGTCCGTGGGCTCACTTAGGTTCCTGAAGCGTGGCGTCATCAATGTCTCGAAACCCAACCCAGAGGGTCCAAGTACCCAAATAGTAGGGTTTTAGGTCCCAAAATCCATACACTGAATGGTTTTTGGACCTTGAAACCCTACTATTTGGGTACTTGGACCCTTAGGGCAAGGATCTAAACCAAATGCCTTCAACCATGAATTACATTCATTCATCATAGTTCGCAGCGACACCATAACATCAACAAAAGTGTACAAGTAAAGTAGCCGTGGCAGTATTCAGCAGAAACGAACACAGACGTAGTTCATGGTGATAATAGCACAGTGTTAGAGTTGCAAGCCAGTGAGCGCCCCTGTTACCCTGAACCCTAAAACCCTAAACACCAAGCCCTAAACCCCCCAACCCTAAGCCGCCAGGTCCAGTCAGGCTTGGAGAAGGTGCGCGTGCAGAAGAAGGCGGTTCAAGTGAGGCCATGACTGAACATATCCTTCACAGCGGGGTCAGTCAATCTTCTTCTCATGAGAGACTCGTTGGCCTAAACCCTAGAAACCCCAGACGCAAAGTCCCATAAGGCCTCCGAAACCCTATAAACCCTAGACCCGAAACCCCAGAAGCGTTGCACTCTCAATCAAAAAATTCCTAAACTCTACAATTAAACCAGTGGTCCTAAGCCCGATAAACCCTACTTAGAGGATCAGGGGACTTAGTAAGTAAGGTTATAAGTACCGTAACTGGGGTTATAAGTAATTATAAGTATGGTTACTTTATTTATAACCCTAGTTACTAAGTGCCATGATCCTTTAAGTATAGCCCCTACATCCAATTTGTAAACCCCGTAAGCAATATAGGTTCCAAACCCACTAAGCCACCCTAACCTATCAGAACCTGCTTGTTTGCAGGTCCCCACAAATCCCAAAATTCGAGTTGATGATAAGAACCTACACTCGATACACTAAAAAAGTAGTTTATGGTACCCTAAACCCTAAACCCTGAACCCTAAACCCTAAACCCTACCTGTGACTCCAAACCCTACTAAATAGTAGGTTATGACCCCTTAATTAGAGGGTCTGACCCTTAAAACGGTAGGTTTTTGGATCCCCAGGTAAACCCAGAAGCCACTTTAAGACTTCGACTGGTAAGCTTCCCCTGACGGGGATCCCGGGGTTCGCACTGTGTTGGTCGAAGTTTTTTGGGTTTCAGGGTTTATAGACTTGATAGGATTTGGGATTGAGTAGTGATTGAGTTTTAGGTTTTGGGGTTTCTGGGTTTAGGATTTCGAGCTTGGGGTTTAGGACGTAGGGTAATTTGTTAATTATAGGCTTAAGGATTGAGGGCTTAGTGGTTTTTTGTTGTCCACATCTGTTTCAGCGAGCGTTGTCGGATTCGCACTAGGATGCTTGGGTTCGAAATGGGAATTTCCGAAAATTAGGGCTTGTGATAAGGATCCTACTATTTGGGGTACTATATTAGGGTCCCCTATTGTCGGAAGCCCCCAAATCCTCTACCCAAGATTGCCCGCATCTGAACTGCGCAGGCTGGACCATCAGGAGAAGGAGAGCAGTCGCCTCAAAAAGGAACTCGAGGACAGCTGTCGCTGTTGTTTTCATTCTTGTGGTATGTTCATGGTTTTTTGAGAAGAAATCGGCTCACGTGCTCGTGGTGCTGCATGTTTGTGTGTTGTGTGTGCGCGGGTGTGTGTGTGTGTGTGTGTGTGTGTGTGTGCTTGTGTCTGTGTCTTTGGTTGTGACTGAAGTTGGTTCGTTGGCGTGTTGTGCATGTGCTTGTTGGATTGCTTGATTGATATTGTTTGCATGACCGTTTGATATGCATTGCTTCTGTGGTTGTGCTGTGTGTGCTTATATCAGCGTTGCTTTTTCAAATTTGTTCATTGTATGCGTGGCTCTTTGTGGGTGTGCGTTCTTGTTTTATGTGTGGCTGTTGTTATATGTGGTTGTCGCTGTTCCTCGTAAGTGTGGGTGAGGTTTGCTTTGTTGTTGTTTTTGTGATTGGGTGCGTTTGTGCTTGTTTCCTTGCTTGCCTACTTGCTTGCTTGCTTATGTTGTTTTTTGTTGCTGGCGCCTCTCCACTTTACGCGTTTACGATACCGCCAGTCCTGCTGCTGCTGCTGCTGCTGCTACTACTACTACTACTACTACTACTACTACTACTACTACTATTACGACTACTACTACGACTACTACTACTACTACTACTACTACTACTACTACTACTACTACTACTACTACTACTACTACTACTACTACTACTGCGATTTCTCTTCCTACTCCTGCACATACTGAAGCCCCAGAGCCCGAAATGCATGCATAAGACCCTATGGGACTCGGGAAGTCCGGAAACCTGTTCCTCTTCACCGGAGGAGGTCAGGAGTAACCTTGCCGAGACTGCAAAAGCCTACGAGGCATCTGCTCGCACCAAATGGGAGTTTCCGAAAATTAGGGGTACCTTATTTTGGATCCTTATAAGAAGGATCTCACTGTTTAGGGTACTATATTAGGGTCCCCTATTTTCGGAAACTCCCAAAACAAGCATAAGTAATTGCCAGTGCTATCCCTTGGGGCTACGTATCTTTACTTTACTACACTAGCCCCACCCACGCCCTAGTTAATCATTAAGGCCGGTTTTAAAGATCCACGAATGTTTCTCCGTAGAGTTCGACAGCGTTATACAGAACTCGATCTTGGTTTTGTACAGCGTGTT